GTTGACTCACATGATCATTTTATCAACCAGTATTCACTACGCCAGTGGTCAATGACAAAAGGAAGAACTTTTAGCCAAAGAAGCAATAAGCTTTGATTTCTGTATGAAGAACAATGGGTGAATTTATTCTTCTTGCTCTGCATATTGACCTTTGCCTACACACTTACTCATTAGGTGCATAAAAACTATATAACACTTAATCACATTTTCTGAGATGATTACACTGGACTCATAGACAGCAATGGGGGGATGGTTTCAAGAGTGAGTTTAAGCCAAGAGGACTGGGCATTTGCAGTCAGAAGTCAAAGCATAGGAATCTGTGGCTATAGAGAGAATGGAACGAGGGTTAGCCCAAGTCTAGGTTAGGGGCCATGAGTCCAGGAAGCCAGATGTCAGGTTGAAGGCACAGATTCCAAATCCAGTTCAACAGATAAACTGGGTAAGATGTCAAAGCTACAACACTTTGAAATAAACCTAATCCAAAGAAAAAGTCTGCCTCTCTGGCCCAAGTGAAATAGAAGGAGGGTAACAGGAGGCCAGAGCTTCTTAGCCTTGACAACTCTTACTGGAAAATTCTTTGTTGAGGGAAATTGTCCTCTACATTGTAGGATTTTTAATGATATCCTTGATCAACACCCACCAGATGCCAGTAGTCCTCACCTCTCACAATGTGACAAACAATGAAAGTCTCAAAATATCCCCTGAAAAGCAAAATCACCTTTGGCTAAGAATCACTCCACTGAATAAATATAGACTTTACCTAAAGTGGGGGAGGAAGAAGGTCTGGCCATGTATTTCTCAAGTTTCCAACATGAGGATTCTTTGATATAGCTAAAAATAACTATAAATTTGATGTTGTTATGAGGAAAATTAATATCTCTAAATTATCTATCAATATGCAGACTCTAAACAGTTGATTTCATATTTCAGATCAGTCATTGTCTTTTCCTGTTGATTTGTCCTCAAAGAAAACTGCATACAATAAACCTACACATGGAAAACTACAAGGATAAAAGAACAGAGTGATTTCTGTGTTTAATCATACAAATATTATTCATGGTAGGTTAAACAATGGTGCACTGTAATTATAAATTATTTGCAAACAAAGTGTGTGATAATTCCATAAACCGCCACACTAGACTTCCAAATAATACACTTGGAAGGAGATAGGCGAATGTGGTCCACCCACAGCAAGATATGTATCTGTTGAAATAAAATTGTTCCCGGTTTCTTTTCTTTAAGGCTGCCACTGTATTTCTGTGATGGATCCTATTATGGTCTGAGTTGTGTTTCCCCACCTTACTGACCCCAACATTCATATGCTGAAGTCTACCTTCCCAGCACCCCAGAATGTGACTCTATTTAATGAGTCTTTAAAGAGTCAATAAACTTAAAATGAAGTTATTGGTTGAGTACTGACAAATTGTTCTTATAAGAGGAAGATATCAGGACATAGGCATATAGACAGAACACCTCATGAGGGCTCTGGGAGAAGACAAGCAGAAATCAGCATGTCAAAAAGTAACCAATCCTGCTGAAAAGTAACCAACCCTGGGTTCAGAATTGTGAGAAAGTAAATTTCCGCTGTTTCACTCACACACTCTGTTACTTGCCCTAGATAACTAATATGGGCACTTGCTATCTTCCCACTGGTCATGCTGTTAGAACTTTTGACTTCCCAGTGGCTACTCACCTACCCACCTGCAGGAAAAAGCACCACACTGTCAGTATCATTTGGATGGAATTTCATTTTGAGAGCTGTGCTAAAGTACCAATTCAACTCATATTAGAAAAGGTTCTATGGGAAATTTACAGGTATTAGAAGAAAGAAAAGCACTGAAACTGAAAAACAAGGAGCAGCAGTTGAAATTAGGAATGATATTTTCTAGTGCTCCAAAAATATCTTAGAAGTTGACCCCAACTTTCTCAGAAAATGCTCCAAGGAAACTAACTTATTTGTGCCATGTCAGACATCATCAATCTTAAAACACAAATCTGTTGTTATCTAATGAATTTTCATCAAACATGCAATATTTTCCATATCTAAAATATAGGGTTATATAATATGTACGTTCTAAAGCTCATCCTGAAGATTTACTGATTTAGTCCATGTATCCAGCCAATAGAAAGTAATACATAGGGCCTCCCCGGTGGCGCAGCGCTTGAGCACTGGGTTGCGAAGCTGCCTGCAGCCTCTGCAGCGCGGATTCAATCCCCAGTCTCCAGGTGAGGGTCCCACATGGCGCTCAGACCTCTCCTGCCATCCGCTGCTCCCCTCAGCAGTGTACTTCGTCAGTCTGCCTGCTCTGCTCTCCTCTCTGACTCTAGTGAATTCTCTCACCCTCCCATGCTTCTGACTGTACCCAGTGCTTGTATAAATAAATAAATAAATCTTAAAAAACAAGGTTTTTTTTAAAAAAAGAAAGTAATTCATAAATGTCAGCTATTATCACTAATGTTAATATTAGGTGGCAATCATGTGTTATAAATTTAATATGATCTTTTTTAGTCTTATTGTTTTGTAAAGCATTTAGTCTAAAATTCCTCATTTTGAAATTTAAATACATGGTATTAAAATACTTTCCATAACAGAGTATTGATTCAATATAAGCATGACTTTTTTCTAAACTATTATCATTATTATATTGGGAAGAGTTAAGAAAACTAGTTAGAGATACTTTGAATAATGCAGTCTATAGGGGAATATATGGCAAGTCAGAAAAAATATATTCCAATTGAGAATGGTATGTTTATGAATTAACCATAAATTTAAATTATGGACAAATAATGTATATCATCTATATTAACAGTCACATAGTCCGTCAAAGGTCACCCTTATTTTATTTTTCACATTTAGAACTTACAAATGATTGAAGCCTCTGAATTGTAAAAATATTCAACAATATTAGAGTATTTTGACATGTAGCTTTAAAATGTACTTACTATTATAAATATGCCCTGAAAATAATTTCATAAGCATGGCATGATTCAAAGTATCGATGTGAAAGTGAGGATGATTTTTATTATCATTTCACTTGCTCAATAGTATGATACCTGTTGGATTTATTTAGAGTAACAATTTTTCAAACAATAATTTATATGCATAGTTATTAAATATATTCTAAGAGCATTGAAACTGTCTTATTTTTAAAAGCTCGTATGATTTTTTTGCATCATTGGAAATGTGTGGTGATAGATTCGTTTCATTATCAATGGGTCATATTTATGCAATGATTTCTTTGTCGTATTTTAGAGTGAAAATAAGTTTAGAAGACATGCAAATGTTCAGAAATCATTTGGTTCTGTTCCTCACTTTTGATGTGAGAAACTGAGATTCAAGAGATGAACTGGCCTCACTTAAGGATTGAGATTTATATTATTTCTTGAAGTCTCCAGAAATCCAAAATTTATAAATTTTCATAAATTATGCTGTGATATTGATAAGACATGAGATTACTTGCATAACAAACCATAATCAGATGCTTTTTTTTTTTAACATGAATGAGCACTTTTTTGAGTGCCTCAAATACAGAAATGTGGCCACAATTAGCTCACTGATAATATAGCAAATAAAATAAATAATAAAAAAAAGACTATTGAAGCAAAAAAGTCATAAGATTACAAGGAAAAAATTTATTAAATTCAAACATTCCAGCAATTATTTATTAAAAAGTTATTATATGTTATATACTCTGTTAATCAGCGCTGCTCAAAAATGAAGAAAGTGGAGTAAAGAAGGAGGGGAAAAAACTATAGGGAAAGGAGAAATAAAGGCAAAACTGCAATCCCCTTCTTCATAATATGGGATCTTTCTGAGTTTCCATTATGTTCTAGTTAGGGAAATACTATAGTTAGTTTAAGTCTCAAACTAAATGTACTTAATAGAGTCACCTTTCAATTTAAAATTAGAAAAGTGCTTCAAATTATCCAGACGAACTTAGCCCGCTTTGAACATTTGCACAGAATTCAACATTTGTAGTTTTCTGTAGCTGTTCTCAACAGCTGCCCACGTTCTACTCTGATCTGTGGGTAGGGCATCCTCCCTATTGAGTGTTCCCGAGAGACTGCTGGAGAGGGTGACTGTGCACATTCTTTTCTTCCCACCTGCCAGAATAACTGGTCACATGAAAAGTCACTTCAAATGGACATCAAAGTCTCAAAAGAAACCTCTAAGAGGCAGACACCAACAATGCTCATGGTAGCTTGAAATTTTCTGGAAACTGTTCTCACTGTGGCCAACAAAAGCACTTTTGGCACTGTCACCTTAATGGTGCCATAAAAACATAAAAGGTCCTAAACAAGCCTCAATAAGGTATAAGAGGGGGGAAATGATCAAATTAACCAAACACAACTAATGGTGCATTCCACTGATGTGGTAAATTCCACTTGAGTGGTAAATCTACCACTCAATGTTTTTTGAAACTCTGAGGTTTCTCCTATATTATCAAAAATGTGTGAAAGAAGATGAATGATTACCTATACCTTTCTAAGATTTCCCTAGAAAGTGCTGGCATTTCCATTGCACTTCGGGCCAAGAAAACTGAGGAGTATAAGGGTAGAATGCAGGAATAGCTAGAACTCTCAAATGAAAGGGTTTCTCATAACTTCCAATATGTTTAACATGGTGACTATAGACACAGGCCTGAACAGCTTACATGTGTGAGGAAGAAATCGCAGGTCATGCAATTTAGAGCCTGAGGAAAAATGTTACAAAGTCATTTGGTTCTGTTCTTTACTTTTGATGTGATCTACTGAGATTCAAGATATGAACTGACTTCCCCAAGACAATTTAAGGATCTTGTGGAACAGAGAGGTCTAAAATCTATTATCTGTTGCATCCTACATTCTAAAAACCTGTAATCCATGTTGTCAGAGGTGACTGGTGTATGCAAATTGCATTGATAACAGTCTTAAAGATGAAAAATGAAGTAGAAACATAAGCCTTGTCTTCCCTTCTTTAATTCTCAATTCCACAGAGGTAACAAATTTGCTTTACTCACCTACAGGGAAAAACTCGCTCATTTTCTTTTTGTAGATTTTGAAGTCGACTTCTAAGAAGACACAGAAGATGATCCGATCCACCTAGAGGCAAATAAATACTCAAAGTGAAAGGAAATATGGAGACTGCCTTCCCAGACCATGGTGTTAGAACAAAAAACAAATAGAAAAGCCTCATACAGAATTTGGTCTACACTGCTAACTACAAAACATTATTTGGTGAAGTTCAAGTGTGTGAGTGTGTGTTGTATGCTTTATGAAAATAAACCTATGGGCTATCTGGTAGAAATATGTTAAATAAGTCAGATAAGAAATAGCAAATGACAATAAGCCACTTTGCAGCATGTTATAAATAAGATCTGAGACTGCAACTGTATACCTAGACTTTATGTCCTATAAAACAGCCATGAGAGGCATACAAGAGAACAACAATAAAGTATGTCAATAAACAGTTTTTTTGTCTTAACCTTGTTAGACAAATATATTTATCATACTTGTTAGTATTTGAACAAGTTCTAAAAAGCTTGATACATGTGAATTAGAGTGAAGCCACTTGCTTTTAACTTAACGTACTCAGCAAAACAACAGAAGTAAAATATAATTGGTTGACAGTGACAAGCAAGTGTTCAGTATAATATCCATCTCATAGATATTAAATATGAAAATGCCAGCTCAAAAGTAAACAAGTGTTGCCTTTTTCTGCTTCCAAAGAGCTTCTGCTTGTAAGGAGTTTCTTTGAGATATTCAGAGTGCAATGTTGTAGACAGAGAAAAGAGATGGAGTATATAAAATAGCTTATATATATATCTGATATTAAGTCAGTGACTCAAGTTCATGTCCTGAAAATAAATACCTCATTGGTTCCTTTATTTTAACAATGTACAAAGAGTTAGAAATTACTTGATCTATCAAACTGCAACTGTCAACTGAATAGAACGTGAAGTGAAGCATTTCATATGGCAGTAAGTAATAAAAGTATAGTGAGCATTTTTCCAGGACATCAAAAAACTCACTGGATGTCATCTACCTAGCCCCGCAGACCTCCCTGTCTGGGCAAAACTGATTCACACTAGCCAGATCCAAAAGTTTCCAGTAGGAGAGAAGATCCACAGTGCTGGGGGGAGGTAAGGAAGTGCTAGGACACAAGAAATCAGCAGGGACGCTCAGCCATCTGAACCCCTAAAGCCTGTACAAGTCTAAACCCCCACTGGAGTGGACTGCTTTCTGGCCAGTTACTGGACTTCAGTGGTTTAATGTCCAAAGGCCTTGTAGTCCAAGTTACTACCCATACCTGAAAAACTAAAAAGAAAGTACTTGGCTTTCAGAAGTGGAAGGGCTGGGGTGAAAATAACCATATTTTATTTCCCCTGTATTCACTTAAGTTACTGGCGCCCAATCCTGTCAGCAAAACATTATAATTTTCTACAAATGCAAAAACTTCCACTGCCAAATCAATATCCAGGTGGACTGCAAGTGTACTTGAATAACTAATCATCTCTGTGTAATACATAATGCGTGTCTCCACTCTTATGTGGCAGGTTTATGGCACAACTAAAGCTCAAAATCATGTTGAGCATCATAAATGAGTTTCAAATGGACAGTCTCTAAGAGACCATTAATACCAATTTTTAAAGCACAAAGATACAACGGTAGGAAAGTTACACATGAACTTCAGGATGATGACTTCTGGGGAGGGAGATCAGGTAAAGGGATGGACAGATACTGCTTTAATGAAATAGTTAATGTTTTATTTATTTGGACAGAAAAGAGATTTGAGAAAATATAAATAAGCAATAGCTATTAACTATGGAGATAAGTACATGGATACATATAAATATGTATTATATATATTATTTTCTATACTTTTTTGTATATTTCACAGACTTCATTACTAAATGCTAAGTTTTGTCTACTCCCCAAATACCATAATTATTTTCAGTTCTGTACTTAAAATGCTAGACTTTTTCTTCAGGCTTCAAATGGTTAGATTATTTCAAAAGGCATCTACTTGAGATTTTTAAAAAAACAAAACAAGGAAATTTGACAGCAGAGCTAATAAGATTAAGCTGGACGGTCTCATTTTCACTCATTTTCCCCTATTTTTATGACCCTTTAGTATAAATTAAAGAATTGTTTTTAACATTATGGTTGCTTGTATATGAGTGAGTGAGTGTGTGTGTGTGTGTGTGTGTGTGGAGGGGGAGGGTTAGTGGTAAAGCTATTTACTGCTATTAAGTGTTCTTTTAAACACCACACATACTATGTAAGATTTCTTCAATTTTGCTAAGAATTATAATCTACCTTTTAGCACTTCAGGCTTTGTACCATGGAAAAGGTATGGGTCCAAAATTCAGTTGCCTGATTTATTTTCCCAGAGCGAAGATGGGTGGTGAGGGAAAAGTACTTTCATTTTAAGCTCATTGAGTGGCCCAGTTCCCTACCATTACCCTTAGGCATGACACTGAAAATATCTTGGAAGCTACCTAAATCTAACAATTATCCTCATTTGCCAAGTCATTGTTATGCATGCAGATCTCTGTGCTTGAACATATGTGTGCATAAACATATTCTCTAGGGTTTCTGTTGGACAAGAGTTCATTTGGTTGACAAGCTTGTGATTATAAACTCATCATGGATATTGATCACTGCTTTGGGTAGACTGTCTTTTTCCAAGATGGCATGGCCTATCCCACAGAGGACTCTTACAATGTGATGCTGAGATGCCTCCTATTGTGAGGAAGAAGCTGTATTTCCTCCACTTGAATCTAGAAGTGCCCGTGACCATGACAGAAATGATTATGTGATGTGTGAGTTCATGTCATAAAAGGTATTACAGTTTTTGCCTGGTCCTCTTGGGAGGTTTACTCATGTGCCCAGTTGCCATTCCATGAGGAAGCTAAGACTACCTGGAGGATTCACAAGTTGCTGTGCTGGCCAATAGCCCTGACTGAGGTGAGCAGACTTCAGATGACTTTAGGTCCTGCCTTTTTAAAAACTGAAGTAGTATTGCATTATAACATTATACAAGCTTCAGGTGTGCATGCTTTAAAACTCAACATCTGTATATATTACATTTAGTTCATTACTGAAAGTCAGTTTTTACTTTTAAACTAGCCCAGAAGAATGTCATATGGAACAGAAATGAACTCATCTAGCTGAATCCTGTCTAAACTGCAGTTTAATGAACAAAACATAGAAATCTATAGTCAGAAATATGATATTTTTCTATTGCAAGTAATACAAAAGGCAACATTACTATTCCTAGGAATTAACAACGTGACTAGAACTTAAACTAGAACCTTATGGAGAATTGGGTGATGTTCATCTTTGCACAGTAAGCACATGGTGGAGGTCCTTATTTGGAACTCTGAAAATATTTGTAGAAATATATGCAGGAAACAAACTTGATTAAATGTAAGTAAATGGCAGATATTTTTCAAGGATATTCAGTTCCAGAATCAAAAAATAACTTCTTTAGGAAGAATGTAAGACTCTCCTCTGTGCTTTCTAGAAGACCTGAGAACAGAATTATAAATGAGTCTGGATGCCTCTGCAAAGTAGGAAACAATATGTAAAAGGCGTGAGTCTTTCATCATGACCAACTATTGTTTCATCCAATGATACTATGCTGAGTACAATAGTTCTTGAGGGCCTCCCCTGGTGGTGCAGCCATTGAGCCCTGAGCTGTGAAGCTTCCCACAGCCTCTGCAGCGCCAGTTCAATCGCCGGTCACCAGCGAGGGTCCCACATAGGGCAACAGACCTCTCCTGCCACGCCTGCTGCTCCCCTCAGCAGTGTATTTTGTCAGTCTGCCTGTTCTGTTCCCCGGTCTGGCTCTGGTGAATTCTCTCACTTTCCCGCACTTCTGACTGTACCCAGTGCTTGTACAAATAAATAAATAAATCTTTAAAAAAATATATAGTTCTTCAGTGCAATATTGATGCTTTAAATAGGGTGCTCAGTAGTCAGTCTCATCATAGAAACAATAATGCTGCCTACACACTAAGATGTTTTAAGACTTAAAAGATTTTTTTTTAAAGATTCATTTATTTATACAAACACTAGGGTACAGGCCGGAGGTGCTGGAGGGTGAGAGAATTCACCAGAGACAGAGCAAGGGAACAGAACAGGCAGAAGGATTCCCAGAGTACACTGCTGAAGGGAGTAGCAGACCAGCAGGAGAGGTCTGCCACACCATGTGGGAATCTCCCTGGCCAGCTGGGAATCGAACCGGCACTGCAGAGGCTGTGGACAGCTTCATAGTGCTGTGCTCAACCTGCTGCGCCACCAGGGAGGCCCTTAAAAGATTTTTTTTTTACATGAAAAGATAATATGAAGTATTGGCAAGAATATGTATTAACAGGAATTTTCCTCTATTGCTTTTGGGAGTAAATTTGCCAAAACCACTATGGAAAATTATTTGGCCATATCTACTGAATAAGCTGATTTTGCTTATACCCAATGACACAATTTTACTCCTAGGTAAACAACCAGATGAGTATATAAATAAGTTCACAAAAGATGCATACCACAATGATACAGCAGCACCATTAAGTAGTTAGAAACTACTTAAATGCCCATAAATACTAATATGCATAAACTGTGATCTATTTACATAATGGGATATTGCATACTAGTGAGAATGGAAATTTTCCAATAATACAGACACGCATAATATTGAGTAAAAAAATTCAGGAAATAAGAGTACACATTGGATAATTCTATTTCTATGAAGTTCAAAAATATGATTGAGATTGACAAAGTCCTCCATGGGCCTAGAAAATAGTATAGCAATTATTCTGGGCTGAGGATTGGTGAAAAGGGACTAAGAGGAATGCCTGGGAACCTGTTTTTTAATCTGGATACTGGCCTCATAAATGTGCTCAGTTTGTGAAATTTCATCAAGAGTTGCACTTAAGATCTATGTTCATTTCTGTATGTTATACTTCAGTGAGTCTTTTTTTTTTTTTTTTATAGGTTGAAAGTCTTATGTGATGGCTGCCTTGGTCAACAATCAAAAATCTATTTTCATTGACTTAGAGGTCAAAAAGTCCTTTAAAAACTGGCCTTCTGAAGGCAATCTT